CAGTAGCTTCTCTCTTACCATACCATGTCACAGTTCAGCTCTGAGACAATTTTGCCGTTTTGAAGTGCCAGTACGTGTTTGATCTGTCAGTAGTTTTGTAGAGGGTGAGGTGTTTTTTTTTAATGTTTTATTGTGAATTATGTGATAGTTTACATGGGAGAACATTGGTTTTGCATTCATTCTATCGTATATATCGCCTCATTGCCATGTTTACAATCCCCTCCATGCAGTCCTTCCCCCGTGTCCCCCAGGTCTTCAGCACACAGTCACTCTCCCTCTCTGGATCTAAAGTCTCCAGCTGCTCCATCACTCCACATCATCATCTTTGGCTCCATTTCAGGCATCACTGCTTCTCTGGGTAGGGTCCCGGTCTCTGCTCTTCTCCCTTGATGGTCCTAGGGACCTCCGCTCCTAGACTGAAAAGTTAGTCACTCCCCTCCTTGCTATAAAACATCCACCTTTACATTTCCAACCCTCACAATCAGTCCTGATAACAATTATTCACTATTGTATCACAAGAGACCCATCTGCATTTCATTGCATCAGCCCCTCCTAGACAGATTGGATACTACTCAATGGAGATTTTACCTTCCTCCACGCCCTCTGGATCTAGGTTCCCTCTTGAAAGCCTGTAAGCCAGTCACTTCTTGCCTTTGTAGCGCTCCCCCTCCCCATTTTGGGTAGCCAATGTCCAAGTTGCCCATCCGTGTCTACTCTGTGTGTGGAGGGTGTGGGAATGATTCTTGCTGTAAGGATTTGTTCCCTCTTTTGAGCTACTGCTTCCATAGGTGTAGGTCAAGTTCATCAAATTATATCAGAATACTTTTTTTTTTCCTCTTCTTTCTTCTTCTGGTTGAGCTCTGATCATCTAGTCATTGAAGCCAGGTTAAGTGGGTATTATCTGCAAGTGTGGGTGTTCTTGTGTATATGCCCTCTCTTCTTATCAGCTAGACGCTTCACTCTCCGCTCTAGTCCAGAGGGTGAGATTTTTGAAGACCATTTTGCCTTTTTAAATAAAAAGGCTGAAGTAATAAATCTGTCAATCTATCAATATATACTCGTTGCATGTAGGTAAAGAACTTAATTTCACAGCCCTCTCAACACCTTGAACCTGGGAATCTTTGCACCGTTTATTATTTAATTATTACATTTTTTGCCTCAATTGAGACAAAAATTTTCTTCTTGAAATGCCTGATTTTTTTCCAGATTAAAGTCTTTTATTTGGTTCCTTGCCAACTGCATTCCCTCAACCCTGGGATACCACTTATGCAAAGAGATAGGGCTGTTGTTTCAGCTAATCACATATATAGAATTGTTTTCCAAAAGACTAGTTTTCTTAAGGGCAGAAGCTGTATCTTATTCATCTCTGTCTCTTCATAGAGGGCCTGGTACACTACTGGCACAGAATAAAAGCGCAGTAGTGACCCTATTTTACCTTCCATAAAACAGCACAGCCTACCTAGAACCAAAGTTTGATTCTAATTAGCATGATATTCTGACTGGCAGAGTCATATTACTCTGATTAACTTTTAAAAATTAGAAAATAGCAAATAGATGCAGTTTATAGATGAAATTTTTCAAACATTGGGCCCAGGTAGAAATATAAACAAGGGGCATTCTTGGTGATGAAAATACGCAGATCAGGAGTCACTTTACGGCTTTGAGGTCTTTTGCAAGAAGAGGAGAAATTCCTATACTCTAAAACCAGGTGGTTTGGACCCTGAGCAAATGCTAGAATAAAAATTTTAGGTTTTCAACTCCAGCTTCTTTCCTTGAGCTTTTTTGTTGTTGTTAGGTGACATCCATTCAGTACCAACTCACAACGACCCCATGAACAACAGAACGAAACACTGTATGGTCCTGTGCCAACCTCACAGTCATTGCTACGCCTGAGCCTATTGCTGCCAACACTGTGCCAATCCATTTCATTGGGGGTCTTCCTCTTTTTTTCTGACCCTCCACTTTACCAAACACGATATCCTTCTCCAGTGACTGGTCCTTCTTGAAAATATGTCCGAAGTATGAGAGACGAAGTGTGGTCATCCTGGTTTCCAAGGAGCTCTCTGGCTGTACTTCATCCAACGCAGATCTGTTGGTTCTTTTGGCAGTCTGTGGTACTTTTAACATTCTTCTCCAACATCATAACTCAAAAGCATCAGTTCTTTCATGGCCTTCCTTATTGACTGCCCAGCTTTCTCATGCATATGAGGTTATCGAAAATACCATGGCTTGGATCAGATGCACGTTTTGCCCTCAAACTGACATCTTTGCTCTTCAACACTTTAAAGAGGTCTTGTGCAGCAGTTTTGCCTAATGCAATATGTCGTTTGATGTTTTCACTGCTGCTTCCGTGAGGGTTGATGGCTGATCTGAGCAAAATGAAGTCTTGGACAACTTCAGTCTTTTCTCCATTTATATGGATATTTATTGATCCAGTGGTAAGGATTTTTGTTTTCTTTACATTGAGGTGCAACCCATGCTGAGAGCTGTGGTCTTTGATCTTTATCAGTAAGTATTTTAAGCCCTCTTTCAGCAAGCAAGGTTGTATCATCTGCATATTGCAGCTTGTTAATGAACCTTGAGCCCTAAGTCCCATAAAATATTTAAACTATCTTGGATTCTCTTACTTTATGTATCCTTTGAAGCAAGTAGTAGCTTTCCCTTCTTCGTGGATTACCTGCAAGGCCTTTTTTTGGGAAGAAACCAGCTAATTACTGCTGTTCTCCTAAAGAGTTGTTTGACATTAATCCCATGAGGCCCTGTATTTCATCTTTAAAACAAGAGAGTTGGACCAGATTATTTATTCAAATGTTTATTGGGTCCCTGTTATGCAAGGCACTGAAATTACAAGTTTGATCAGACACAAAGGACACACCATCACTATGTAGTGATGGAGATTATATGATGATCAATGAGAATTTGATGAGAAGAGTGAAGTAGGCATAGTTTTTTCCAGAAGACTATGGTATAGAGTGAAGGAGTGGTACCCAGTGTAGAGTAGTAGGTCAGGAAAAGCTTCTCAGAGAAACTTAGTCTAGAGGCAGGTTTAAGAGGTAGGTAGGTAGGTGGGACAAGGCAGGGACAGAGAGAAGTGGTTGTTCCAAGAAGGCAAAGATCTAGAAGACAAAAAAGGTTGTCATGTTTTGAAAATTGGTAGTGTTTCAGTTTGTATGACGCATAAAGTATAGGGAGGAAGTGCTAGCTACCTAGGTTGAGAAGGGGTATAGGAGCTAGTTAATGATGGGTGCTCTGGTCTGTTTCCTCTTTGTGATGGGAGATTATTGAAGGAATTTAAGGAGGGGAGTGACATAACAGATTTATTTGCATTTTAGAAAGAGGTTTAAAGTTCTGTTAGTGTGTTCTATGAACCAGCATTATCGCTAAGACCTACTGAGTTAGGATTCCCAGGCAACTCATATGTACACTAAAATCTAAGAAGCACTGCTCTGATGAAGAAAAGGTAATAGAATTAACAGAGAAAGAATTCAAAAGAATGATAATTAGGTACCTTCAAAGGATCGATCGAAAGATTGAAAAAAGCAAGGGGAACAAAATAAAAACTTTAGAAGAACTCAGGAAAACACTACAAGAACAAATAGACAAAATAAATGCAAAATTTGAAACAATACAAAACATGCACTTAGAAATCCAAAAGATTAATACTGAGATCTCAGAAACGGACAATACATTGAAAGGGCAAAGGAGTAGATGTGAAGCGATGGAAGCCCAAATTAGTGAGTTTGAAGATAAATCTTTCAATACTAGTAAACTAGAAGAACAATCAGAAAAAAGAATTTAAAAATCTGAAGAAAGCCCAAGAGTTATGTGGGACACCATTAAGAGGAACAACTTATGGGTGATTGGAATTCTAGAACAGAAAATGAAAAGAGAAAATTGTCAAAGAGTTGTTGGAAGAAAACTTTCTTAACATCATGAAAGACAAGAAGATAAGCATACAAGAAGCTGAATGAATGCCAAACAGGATAGATCCCAAAAGAAAATCACCAAGAAATACCATAATCAAACTTTCCAAACCCAAAGACAAGGACAGAATCCTGAGAACAGTTCGGGAAAAAAGAAAATTATTTACAAAGGAGAACAATAAGACTAAGCTCTGATTTTTCAGTAGAAACCATGCAGTCAAGAAGGCAATGGGATGACATATATAAAACTGAATGGAAAGGATTGCCAACCAAGGTCATATACCCAGCAAAGATGTGTCTCCAATACTACGGTGAAATTATAACATTTCTTGATAAGCAGAAATTAAAGGAATTTAATTTAAATGACCAGAACAACTTTACAAAAAATGCTAAAGTGTGTTCTTTGGACTGAGAACCAACAACAGGAGACAACAACCTGAGATTGATATACCTGGCAACACCACCTAGAACTCAATCCACATATAGAAGTATTTAAGTAAAACAAACCTTCAAGAATGAAAATAGGGAACTCGAGATATCTATGTACAATGAAGTCAACTATAAAGCAAAAAGGGAATAGTGTAGATACAGAACCTCTAAATGGCAAGGAAGTTAAGTAGATTTCAAAATAAAACAGATTGTTTTAAACAGGGGTAGAAATTACAGTAACATCAAAGAAAGCCAATATACTTTCACTTCAAAATAAAAAGGAAAATCAGAAAGATCTAGTAAGCATTAACACAACAGAAATGAAGATGACAAGAAAACCCACAAACAAAATGAACTCAGCATAGAAAAATATGTGGAACAAAGAATGCAATAGTACCACAAAAATACATAGAAAAATGACAACAATCAATGCATACCTATTAATAATTACACTGAATGTAAATGATTAATTGTACTAGTCAATAAACATAAAGAATAGAATGAATAAGAAAACAGGATCCATCAATATGTTGTCTACAAGAGAAATATCAAAAAGATGGAGACAGCCTAAAGAAACAATCTATGATGATTACCAGAGAAGTTGGGAGGAAAAGTTATTCATGGGCAAGAGGGTAGACACACGTTAACATGGGTGAGAGGGCAGGCAATATACAACAAGAGGGAGATTAGAGAGGAGAGATGAGGGTTGCGGGAGACAAAGGGAGGAATGCAGTAGTTAAAGTGAATAGATGTAAATCCTGTTAACTGTTGGCACATGGAGGAGATTGCAACCATGTAGCATACCAAAGTATGGTTTGTTAAATGTAAAACTGATGATCTGCTTTGTAAACCTTCACTCTATTCACAATAAAAAGTTAAAAAAAAAGAATAGCCCAGGTCCCCCTCCCCACCTCTCTCCAAGGAGCTTTGGTGGCATAGTGGTTATGAATTGGGCTGCTAACCTCAGGGTCAGCAGTTCAAAACTACCAGCTGCTCCACAGGAAACGGATGAGGCTTTCTGCTCCTGTAAAGATTTACAGCCTCGGAAATCCTGTACAGGGTCACTATGAGTTGGAACTGACTCCACAGCACATAACCACAACAGGAACCAAAAGTAAAAAATTTCACTTACAAGTAAGTACTGGCTCCACTAAATTAAAGGCTTGTTACTACAACCTGGATCTCTATCTCTGACTCAAATGGGAAGACAGGCACTTTATATTTTGTGATTTCTTAGAGTCAAAGGTATTTACAAGCCAGAGATAGCCAAAGAAGTCAATCTAGGAGCATTTCCTTTAACGTTCCCTAGTTCCTTCTTACTGTTAAGTCCTGTCAAGTCAGTTTTGACACTTAGTGAACCTTTATAGGGTTTCTGAGGAGCAGCTGGTGAGTTTGACCCACTGACACTGCAGTTCAAACCACAAAATACAAATTGCCTATCTCCCCATTTGAGTCAGTGATGCAGATACAGGTTGTAGTAACATGGCTTTAATTTAGTGGAGTTAGTACTTACCTGTAAGTGAAAATTTTGACCTTAGACATGGTGTCCAAGAGGGCAGGAATCATTCTGGAAGAGGTAGGATAACATCCTAGGTTCCAAGTCAGAAAGCTTTCTACATGGTTGGCTCATATAAGCAGCCCCCTTAAATCCAGTAACTATCTGTGGTATTAACAACATAGCTGTCATTTAATGTCAGTATCACATCATTTGATACAGTAACAGAGTGTCCTTCCCTTAAGTTTATGACTTGACTTTCTAAATATCTTAAATTTTGTTCCTTAGTTATCTTACTGATCTTAGCAGCTCATAGAAAGGAAGGCAGAGATGAGAGATTGTCAGCCTTGTTGTACAAATGAAAAAGCTGATACACAGACGAGAGGCTAAAATTCATAAATCTTAGTGTTGGAAGTAACAATAGATACTATCCAGCTTTTGACCAAATTCTTTTTGAGGCTCTGACACCTCATGCCAAGTAACCTTCTTGTGTTTTTGCTTGATGTTGTTGTTACATGCTGTCAGTCAGCTACCACTTACAACAACCCTTTTTAGGGTTTTTAGGATAAGCTGGTAGGTTTGAACTGCCAATCTACTAGTTTTTTCTTTGTAGCTGTATGGAATAAATGGTCTTTATTATTCACATCTGCTTTTTATTTTAATATATTAGAAGACACTGACCATTGTCTCCTTTAACTAGTCCCTTTTCCAGACCAAGAACTTTCCCTAGTTCTCTGTTACTTATATAGAATCATAATACTTAAATGTGTATACTATTTTATAGATTGTGAAGTTCTTTGTAGAGCAGTTTACAACACACTTCACAACACTCCTCCTTTGATACTCCCTACAAACCTGTTTAGGAAGAAGGTAAGGCCAGATTGCTCCTTAGAAGAAAGATGGCAAAAGTTGGTCTTTCGTACTTTGGACATGTTAGGAAGGATCAATCCCTGGAGAAGGAAAGACATCATGCTTGGTAAAGCAGAAGGTTAGTAAAAAAGAGAAAATCCCCAAATGAGATGGATTGACAACGTGGCAGCAACAGTGGACAGGGCAATATTTTGTTCTGTTGTGCGTAGGGTCACTGTGAGTCAGAACTGACTCCGTGCCTACCAACAACAATACACTGTGAGGACTGTATTCTAATACAATAGTTCTGTTGCCCTATATTCAAGATGAGGAAATGGAGGCCAGTTGTGTTTAAATAACTCACCTAGAGTTATTTGACTAAAGAAGTCAGAATGTAAATCAGCTTGGGCTGCCTCATCTGTCTTTCACTGAGTGGCTGGTGAGTTTGAACCACCGATCTTTTGGTTACCAGCCTAACACTTAATTCACTGCACCATCAAGGCTCATTTAAGTTAGTAACTAAGTCATGAAACTGACAAATAGGGCTATATTTTTACTTTTTTAAATTGGGATGAGATAGGAAAAATGACTTTAATTTGATTTTTTTTTTCAGTTTTGGTAAATTAAGAGAAAGGATTCATTATTTTAACCAACTATGTCACATTAACAACCCTGGATGAGTTTGACCAGTAATTCAATGTCTGTACATGAAACTAGGCCCTAAAAAAGCAAAGATACTGATCTTCATTGTATTTGAATCCCTAGCATATAATATGTTGTTGTTGTTAAGTGCCATCGAGTCGATTCCTACTTATAGCGACCCTGTATAGGGTTTCCTAGGAGCACATGGTGAGTTTGAACCACTGACCGTGTGGTCAAGTGCTTATCTTATAGCATCACACCAGGACTCCAGCATCTAGTATGCTGTTGTTCAGTGCTGTCAAGTTGGTTCTGACTCATAACAACCCTGTATAGGGTTTGGGTTTCTGAGGAGCAGCTGGTGAATTTGAATCACTGACCTTGCAGTTCAAACTGACCTTGATGTGCAATGCATTATCCCACAGTGCCACATGAGGACTCCAGCTTCTAGTATAGTTGCTGACGAAGAATGGTACTCAGTAGACATTTTTGGAGTGAGTAAATGCCCAATGGAGTGTTGTTTCAGTCGATTCCTTACTCCTGCCAATTGCCCATCTCTTCTTTGCCTCTGCTGTAGAAAGGACTAAACAGTTTGACGTTTTGTGGTGAAAAATCCATCCTGTTGGGTGTTCATGAGGGACCTTTGAAGCCCTTAAAGACACTTCTGGGTTCTTTGTTGTGAAACAGAAAAGTCTAAACCTGGTGCCTCTTTAATCCACAGTCCTGGCCGCTACTGTTTCTCATAACTGTTTGACTTTTATGTCTGCACAGGTGTGTACTTGGGGGCATGTGCTACTGGGTCTGATGAACCTGGTCCAGAGGGCCTCACCTCTACCTCCCTGCTGGACCTCCTGCTGCCCACTGGCCTAGAACCACTGGACTCAGAGGAGCCCAGTGAGGCCATGGGACTAGGAGCTGGCCTGGGAGCCCCTGGCTCTGGCTTCCCCAGTGAAGAGAGTGAGGAGTCCCGGATTCTGCAACCACCACAGTACTTCTGGGAAGAGGAGGAGGAGCTGAATGACTCAAGCCTGGACCTGGGTCCCACTGCAGGTAGCTCTTCTTACCTAAAGAGTGTGTGTTGATTGCCATCTGAGTGTAAGACAGTCTAGGAAGCATGCCAAACGAACACTTCCATGATAGGAATAGTCACTCCTCTCCTTTCTCCACCAGTTATTACCACATTCACCTGGACATCAAAGCCAAGTCTCTGGGACTTCTTGGCCCAGAAGGGCCTTTTCTCTTTAATATTAACTACTATTTAGTGAGCACTTACTCTGCTCGTAATTGATATAAATCCAGTTTAAGCATGAGAAAACTGAGATTTGGAAAGTTTAAAAAGACTGAGATGTTCAGTCATGAATCAAACCTAGGTCTTTACAAGGTTTTTTTTGTTGGATTTTTTAGGATTTTTTTTGTTGCTTTTATGTCATGCTGTATTGTCTCTGTTGAAGATTCCCAAGATTAGCAGAATGTGTCCTCTTTTGGGCCTGTCTGATCCCCAGTTAAGGCATTCTAATTGCCCTTTCCTTAATGATATATCAGAGCTAGTTTCTGGGTGTACAGAGCATTTCTTGCTCCATAAATGCTATTGGACATCTATGTCCCAAAGGAAGTCTAATGAGGTCTGGGATTCAGAGCTGGAATGCACATAGCCATGGGACTGATTATAGATGCAGCAGAGCATACTCATGATGTTTTCAGCCTCAGCAGCTGTGCACATGTTCTTGGGTAGTAGGAGCTTATTTATTTATTTATTTATTTATTTATAGGGCTTTTAATATGAATGGAGTAAAAGTTTACAGGGCACGTCATCAGTTTTACATTCAACAAATCATATTTTGCTTCATTGCAATGGTTACAATCCCATCCATGTGCCATCAGTTAACAGTATTTACCTCTATTCCTTTTTGTTTGTTTGTTTTGATGTACACATACTACACAGAAAATATATATTCATTTAAGTGTCCAAAGGGCACATTTTGCAAGCCAGCCTCTTGCCCACAAGCACACAGCCTTTCTTATTCCATGGGCCTAGAGTCCTCAGATTCTCTCTCTCTATGCCATTGCCTCTGCCCCTGTCTCTGCTGTGACCGCTTTTCTGGTTAGGATCCCACACTCCACTCAAGCTCTTTCCTCTTGATGGTCCAAGGGCCCTCTGTTCCTGCAATGAAAGATTAACCACTCCCCACTTTTAGCTACACATCTTCTACATTTACAGTTGTGACAATCGTGATTAATCCTGGTAACAATTACTCATAATTGAGTTTTTAAATCCTATCTTCATCATTCCCCACCCCCTTTAACCAGACCCATCTGCACAAGAAGAAAACTATTCAGTGGGGATTCTACCTTAACCGTCTTGTTCTGAAACGAAGCACACACTTGTTCTGAAACTAAGCACACTCATGAAAGTTTGTAAGCCAGCACTTCTTGCCTTTATGTTGTTGTTAGGTGCCATTGAATTGGTACCAACTCATAGTGACCCGATGCAAAATAAAATGAAACAATGCCCGGTCCTGGGCCAACCTCACTAGTGTTGTCATGCTGGAGTTCATCAATGCTTCCAGTTTGCCAATCCATCTCACTGGGGGTTTTCCTCTTTTTCTCTGACCCTCCACCTTACCAAACATGATATCCTTCTCCAGCGACAGGTCCCTCCTGACAATCTGTCTGAAGTATGAGAGACAAAATTTGGCCATTTTGGCCTCCAAGGAGCACTCTGGCTGCACTTCTTCCAAAATGGATCTGTTGGTTCTTTTGGCAGCTCATGGCACTTTTAATATTCTCCCCCAACACCATAACTCAAAAGCATCAGTTCTTCTACCGTCTTCCTTATTCACTGTCCAGCTTTCGCATGCAAAAGAGGTGGAATTAATGCCATTTTTTAGAACCCTTCCAACATCTAATTTTGTCATTTAAAAATCTTTGCCAGTTTGATAGGCAAAACTATAATGGCCTCTGATTACTAGTAAAGTTTAACTTGTTTTTTTGTTTGTTTGTTTGTTTGTTTTTGGAGTCAGGCAAGTGTTACACGATTTTGGCAAAAATTTAGTCTAAGCCATTCTCATTTATGAAATGGAGATAGTAATAGTACCTACTTCATAGGGTTATGAAGTTTAAATGCATAATACATTTAAAGTACTTAGCCTAATACCTTGCACATAATGAGAGATCTATGAATATTTGCTGTTATTATTTTTCCATTTTTTTTCTATTGAAGTTTTAATTTTTTTCTTATCACTTTATACATCTTATATAAAAAGATATAATTTTTTCCCTCTGGAGCACATATTTTAATACTTTCCACATTTTTGTTATTTTACCAGTTTTTCAATTACTTTTGTTATAGTAATTTTGACAGTTGTGAATTCTGTTTTTATGAACTTAAAACTATCTTTTAAAATGCTTTCCATGTTTTTACTTTGCTATATATGTGTGTGTGTGTGTGTATATATATTTAAAACCCTGCCCATCATGACATGTGTATTACTGTATTTTTTCTAGCCTTTCTGTAGCTTCATGGTTTTACATTTAACCCTTTAAACTAGCTGTATTTATTTTGGTGGTTGGTGTGAGAAAGTAATCTAATTTCCTTTTTCCCACATATAATTTATCTATTGCCAAAGTAGTATTGATTGATAAATGTAGTGAGTTCTCTTTCTGGGTTTTTCTTTTTGTCCAGACGATTGAGATTGTAGTCTGAGATAAGCAGGTGCTCAGAGAAAGCAGTAGTTATGCCTCTAGAACATTTTTAAGGTCATAATGGAATGTCCCATAAGCTTTGTTGGCTGGTTTGCTTTAGCTTGGTTTCCTTCTTTTCCCTCTTTCTTCATATCTCTTTTCCCATTGGTTTCTCTAGTTCTCATTATAATAAAAGTTTTTATTACTCAATGAATGTTGTTAAGTGCCGTTGAGTCACTCACTTCTGACCCATAGTGACCCTGTATAGGGTTTCCAAGGAACAGCAGATGAGCTTGAACTATTGGCCTTGTGGTTCAAAGCAACTTTGCAATCCAGTGCATTAGCCCACAGCACCACACCAGTAGAGCTATGTAATAGACATTTTGCATATATTATTTTTCTCTTATCACAATTTCCCAAGATAGATCTGTTGCCTTTTCTCTGCTGTTTAAGGTTAAGTTAAAAAGTATTGCTATTAGGTTTCCAGTTCATACAGGCATTGGTTTATTCCAAACAAAATATGTGTAAACATGTCTCCAAACAAAATATGTGTAAACAAGTCTTAAACAGAGATTAGTGGATGGCTGCAGACACGTTCTCTCAATAATGCTAATACACTTGACTTAGTATCATTAGGGTGCCTCAAGTTTTAAGAAAATTATAAACTGCACTGTTGGGTTCCAACTCATAACGACTCTGTGTAAGGTTTCCAAGGCTGTAAATTATTATGGGAGCAGAAAGCTTCATCTTTTTCTCTTGGAGTGACTGGTGGGCTTATGAATTGCTCACCTTGTGGTTAGCAGTCCAGGGCTTATCCTATAGAGCCACAGTGCTCCTAGGATTAAAAGTAACAGACTTGAACCTCAAGTTTGAGATTTGTTGTTCAAGATATAGTGATCCTTCTCAATAATGAAATCACTCATTAGATTATTTAATTTTATTGCCTGAATTGAAATTTGTGAAAAACCAAATTATCAAGCGGCTATCTGCTGGCTCTGGAAATGGTTTCCATATGGCAAATCTTTGAGAAGATGTCTGTTTAGAATGATTTACTCTGATGAGTCACTGCATACATAGCAGGCACATTCACTGAAAGCTACAGGGTTATGAGTTTAAGCAGATAGTTAAGTTACTGAAGTCCTTGTTTAAAAAAAATAATTGGAACTCAGAGAATTGAAGCATAAGATTTATTCTGAGCACTTATTTAAATGTATATAGGAATACCATTCTGATTACAGAAAAAAAAACTGTCAAAGAGTAAACTGGAGCTTCTATTAAAATTAAAACAAATTTATTGAAGGAGCAAAGCAATCCTGACTCCAGCAGTACTTTGTGAGGATTCACTGAAGTACTCTAGGGAAAGGAATTTTTCATAGGGTTTAAATACAGAAAATCCAGGACATTTCAAAAAAAAAAAGATAGATTGGTTGACACTTATAGAAATATACTTTAAGTGACACAAGACAATGGTGAAATATTATTTTCCTTTTATATTATATATTAGATATATAATATATATAATTTTATATAATTAATTATATATTATTTAAACATTATTTTGCTAATTTTGAGTCATTTAACAGCTTGTTCTTGTTGTTAAGTGCCTTGTAGTTGGTTCTGACTCATAGCGATCCTGTATGGGGTTTCCATGGAGAGGCTAGTGGGTTTGAACCATGAACCTTGTGGTTAGCTGTTGTTGTTGTTAAGTGCCATCAAGTCGGTTCTGACCCATAGCAACTCTGTACATGGTTTCTGAGGCTGTAAATCTTTACGGGAGCAGAAAGCCTCATCTTTGTCCTGTGAATCAGCTGGTAGTTTCAAACTGCTGACCTTAAGGTTCACAGCTCGATTCATAACCACTATGCTACCAGAGCTCCTTGTGGTTAGTAGTCTAGTGTTTATCCTACAGTGCCACCTGTGGGTATTTTGAGGGCCATCTTGGGTGACTGTTGTTCCTGGGAGTATGCTTTGAGAGGAAGGGGTAGGAGGGGAGCCTGACTTTTGAAGGTCAGCTCAGAATAAGCAGTAAACAGCAAAAATGGAGTCCAGCCTACAGCTTTGGCAGAAGCCTCTCTCTATGCTGTTATGTAGCAACAAATGACTGCTCTGCCTGGCAGTGAAGAAGAAGACATTTTTTACAATTGGAGCAGAAACTTGAAAAATCATAATTGGCTGAAAGACAATCAGGGGAGTCAAAGGTAAGATATCTTTTGTAGGGGAATTGTTAAGGACTGTCCAGTCAGTTCTGACTCATAGTGACCCTGTATAGGGTTTCTGAGGAGCACTGACCTTTTGGTTAGTCGTCCAGTGCTTATTCTATAGTACCACACCAGAACTGCAAATGTCAGCGTAGTTTATAGACACCCCTT